TCTGCAGCCCACCCCCCCCCACCCCCCCCAGCCACTCCTCATCAGACCTCTTCTCCAGATGCTTCACCAGCTTTGTTGCTCTTCCCTAGACATGCTTCACCATGTCTTTGTCCTTCTTGGAATGAGGGGCCCAAAACTCAACACAGGACTCGAGGTGCGGCCTCACCAGTGCCCAGTACAGGGGCAAAATCACTGCCCTGCTCCTGCTGACCACACTGTCCCTGGTACAGGCCAGGGTGCTGTTGCTAGTGGGTAAGTGGTCTGGGAATTAAAGACTGAGGAAAAGGCAACATTCAGTCCCTCAGCCTTTTCCTCATCCTTTGTCACTATGTTTCCCTCCACATTCAAGAAGGAATGCAGATTCTCTCTGAGTCTCCTTTTGCTGCCAATGGATTTTTAGAAACATTTATTGCTGGTTTTTGCAACAGTGGTCAGTTGAAGTTCCTGTCGGGCCTTAGCCTTTCCAATTTTTTCCCTGCATGACCTTTCGAGATCCCTGTACTCTTCTTGCATTTCCTGCCCCTTCTTCCAGGAGTGGTAAACTCTCCTTTTTCCCCTGAGTCCCAGCAAAAGCTCCCTGTTCAGTCAGGCCAGGCATCTTCCCTGACAGTTCATCTTATGGCATATGGCAACAGCCCACTCCTGCGCCTTTAAAGCTTCTTTTTTCAAGGACAGCCAAACTTCCTGGACTCCTTTGTCCTTCAGAAAACTCTCCCAAGGGTCTCTCTCAACCAGTGTCCTAAACAGACCAAAATCTGTCCCTCAGAAGTCCATGGTAGTGGTCTTGCTGACCCCTCCCTTACATCACCTAGAACAGAGAACTCTATTATTTCATAGTAACTAAACCCAAGATGGCCTCATACTACCTCAATCATATGAGAAAATATGATACAATTACGATACAGTTGCTCACCACCCACTGACCAGTGCACAACCAGGTGCTGAGAAGTGAGAGTCAGAGCCCAAGAGCCCGGGAGCCGCAGCCCTAGAGTGATCACAGCCTGAGAGCTGCAGCCTGAGCACTGGAACCTGAGAGCTATCGCAGCAGATTCCAAGCGAACCATATGAGTGATAGCAGGACTGGGAAAATTAAACAAACCCACCAACTCCCTCATGAATGAGCAAGCATAGGACTTAGCAAAACAGCTAACCCAGGAGTTAGAGTGTCAGCAAGTGTACAGAAGTAAATGAGCAAGAGGGTAAGAGTAATGCCTCCCAGACTCCCACCTCTCCTGTGCCCCGAGCATGACGAACTAAGGAATGAAAAACTCCCTTGGTCAGTTGGGGTCAGGTGCCTGAACTGTGTGTCCTCTGCGCTGCCTGTAGCGAGACAGCGAGAGCTGGGAATGCAGCTGCAGGGTCAGAAGTGGAGAAAGACCTTGAATCTGGTGCAGACGTTGTCCAGCACCAGCTGAGCCCTTGTCAGTGCTTCTCGCTGTGTAAATCCAGTAACACAGCTTCCTAGCAGCCAGGCTGAAGAGAGTTAACTCTTTCCTGACTAAACCCAACACAATCCCTGACTCCAAAATCCTAGGGGTACCCTCGGGTCTCCCCTGCTTCTTTCTGCCAGAGCCTCCAGGTAGGGCCATTCTCCCCAGCTGAGGTGTCCAGCATGTTCTTTACATCTTGCCCTGTCTGGACCAGTCCAAGGACTACTGCATGAACTATCTCCTCTTCAATTTCTTCAAAGCCTTGGCGTTGCTCAGGGCCCCTACTGACATCATTTTTCTTCTGGGTCACTTCATAGAGAGAGCTTACAATCTGACTACTTGCTGAGGGTGCACTCAATGTCATCATCCATGTCACAGACAAAGACGTTAAACAGCACAGGTCCCACAGGTCCTCCCCTGAGGAGCGCCACTTGTCACCAATCTCCACTTGGATGTTGAGCCGTTGACCACCACTCTCTGACTGTGACCATGCAGACAGTTCTTAATCCATCGAGTGGTCCATCCATCAAATCCATGTCTCTGCAGTTTCGAGATAAGGATGTCATGTGGGACAGTATCGAAGGCTTTGCACAAGTCCAGGTAGATGACATTGGTTGCCTGTACTTTATCCACCAAGGTCGTGACCCCATCTTAGAAGGCCACCATATTCGTCAGGCAGGATCTGCCCTTGGTTAAGCCGTGCTGGCTGTCACCAATCACCTCCTCATTCTCCATGTGCCTCAGCATGGCTTCTAGGAGGATCTGCTCCATGATCTTGCCAGGCAAAGAGGTGAGATTGACTGGCCTGTAGTTTCCCAGGTCCTCCTTTTCCCGCTTTTTAAAGATGGGGATTATGTTTCACCTTTTCCAGTCAGCGGGAACTTCACCAGACTGCCATGACTTTTCAAATGTGATGGATATAGTTTTTGCAGCCCCATCCTCAACTCAGGACCCACAGATGTATTCCATCAGGTCCCATGGACTTGTGCACCTTCAGGTTCCTCAGGAGTTCCTGAATCTGATGTTCATTGACCATGGGCGACTCTCCATTCTCCCAATCCCTGCCTTTGTCTTCCATGACTCTGGGGGTATGGCTTGTGCCGTTGCAAGTGAAGACCGAGGCAAAAACGGTGTTGAGTACCTCGGTCTTCTCCATATCCTGGGAAACCAGCTCTCCCGTTTCCTTCCACAGAGGGCCCACATTCTCCCTGACTTTCTTTTTATCCCCTATGTACCTATAGAAGCCCTTCTTGTCGGCCTTGATGTCCCTGGCCAGGTTCAAATCCGTCAGGCCTTTGGCTTTCCTTATCAGTAATTCTTACATTCTCAGTACTGCTCTCAGCATAAATCCAGGAACACAGCTTCCTAGCAGCCACTGCAAAGAGAGTTAACTCTTTCCTGACTGAACCCAACACAGGTCACGACCTTGGTGGATAAAGGTAGAGCAGCCGTTGTTATCTATCTGAACTGGTACACAGCATCCAAC